CTGCATGAGGTAGACCCTTTAAACTCTACACACCTGCATGAGGTAGAGCAGCGCTGCAGCGCTCAGAGTCAGAGGGTAGATGGACTGATAGGTGGCCAAAGACAGAAAGATGGCGCTCAGCAAAACGTTTCCTGCAACACGAAGAGAGAAATACATTTAAATGAGTTCAGACACACAGAGCTACTCAGAGTAGAAATAAATGATTTAATAAAATACAACTCTGACATCACCAGTTATTTATTGACCTTTTATGATCTAATAACCAGAATAAACTGTTAAAACTGGAACAACAACGATGGCTAACACGTCGGCCATCTTGTCTGCCCAGAGAACTGGTTTTGTTGCTGCGGTTTACATTCTTATGATGCTAATTCAAAAAAGAAGGAAAGTTCTTCTGTTTTAGTTTAGTCCGTCATGTTTTTATTGTAACAAATGAGCTACAAGTGTAACAGAGTTAAAAATGTACTTTATTATTTCTTATTTTCGATTTGTAATAATTGAATTTTGTTCATCATTTAACGATTCTGTTGAGTATGTGAATTTCATCTTAATGAGATATTTTTATTTCACGTTATTTTATTTGCGGAAATACGTCTCACCCTTTCTGTACCTCCTGAGCTTCCGTAGCCCGACTTCCCCTCACAATGGTGTTTTACATTGTGAGGGGAAGTCCTGTGGAGAAATGCTGTTGTACTATTTTGTCGTATTCTCCTAAAATGGAAGTGTTTAGGCTCCACACTTTAATAACTATTAAAACGACCACGTTATCCAGCTGTTACGTGTCACTTTGACTGTTAAAATATAAGTTTTGTGGCCGTTTTAATTTAGCCTTTTAGATAAGATAAGACAGACTTTATTGTCCCGAAGGAAATTTGTCTTGGAAACATACATACAGTGTCTGCTGTTAAAAACAATACAGAGGCGCCATTTGCTTTCACGTCAGGCAGACGGAGCGCTGTCATGGAGAAAGACGTAGCGACGCAGAGTTCGACGGTCGCTCCCGGTGTAAATTCTGTTGTTTTCCATGTTTAGGAGCAGAAGTGCAGAGAGAGACCAGACATCAACTGATGTGTGTGTTGAACTGTTGTCTGCAGCATTTAAATGCTGGAAGAGCATCCTCTGAGTCGTCTCCTTCAATGCTCATCCCAGGTCTGTTACACCAGCACACTTCACTGGGTTTCATAAGGACCATAAATGATCCTTAAATCTTTCCTCTCAGGTAGAAAAGTCAGGTCTGCAGGGCTCTTACACATTTGACCAATGGATTTCCATGACTTTTCCATGACTTTAAACCAAATTTCCATGACCAAACATTTTGTGAAATCTCGGTGTATACATGAAAAAGTGAGAAAATGTATTTAAACTAACAATGAGAATTCCAAAGCATACAGTCTACCTTAAATGACAAACGAATGAGAGACAATAGTTTGATTAAAAGAATAAACATTTATAAATATACTCTGGTTGACAGGCATTCATACCACTGACACATCAATAAGAGCTTTAGTAGGTAGTAGCATCCAGCTAGTGCACATGTTGCTTTCCCTTTTGTAGAGCACGTTTCATTGAACCCTGTTACTGTACGGCTTCATATTAACTTCCACTGTTACTGTACAGCTGTTAGAATTGTGGCCTATCTTCTATTTGCAATTAATATGCATTCAATCCAGTTCAATTATTAAAATGATAATCTACTCTGGCTAAGGTAACTTATCAAGAGTAAAATATCTGTGATCTATACACACCTCTGCATTAGCAACCTGCTGAAATGAAGGTACAGGCTCCTTAACCCTCTCATTACTTCAGGGTTCTTGAGAGCAGTGTGGGACTGTTGGGACTGTTGGTCCACTGGCTGTGGTCATCACAGTGAACAGTGTGATGAGAGGACATGTGAGCCCTTGTTGCTGTAGTTCATCTCATGGAGCAGAGGCTGCATGTAGCATAGCCTGCCTTATCAATGTATTTAAAACACTGACAGCAGGAAGCTGTTCTCACGTCTGTTTAGACCTCCACCTTTATCCAGGCCCAGCTCCACCTTTATCCAGGCCCAGCTCCACCTTTATCCAGGCCCAGCTCCAC